ATTTCTTTGGAAGTGAGCAAACTTTCAAATTCAGCTGGGGATCAGATAATTGTTTCCCCCTGTGTAAATCATGGCTACATCTGCAAGGCATGTACAGCGTCGTCATATCGAGGTAAAAACTAGTTTGAGATTCTTTTAAATGAGTTGCTATTTTATGTTGAAAAGAAGCCTCGTGGGTGCAGACATGAAACTGTAGGTAATGTCATTTTTAAGAAGGAGCAGCTCTGCTTTACAGTCATGGGATGACCAAATTCCTCAATTATCTCAATGATCTTTCTATAAAAACTGAAATATTTGTCTGAGAGATGTAAAAAATAAATAGATGTAAAAAATAAATAAAAAATGATACTGTATGTCTTTTCAGGTTGTGGGAAATCTTGAACACTCCTCATAGCATCATGTCTGAGTTGAGCGGGAGGGTCCAGACCGTGCTGGGTTTAGTAGATCCAGACCAGCTTGGCCGTACTATGACCCACGAGCACCTGACCATGAGCTTCGAGTGCTGCTTCTCGCCCCCTCCCCCAGGAGACGAGGCAGTGGCAGAGAACCCGTTTCAGATGCAGCACATGTTCTGGCTCAGGCAAAACCCGTACAGCTCCCCCGAGAACCTGCTCCTGAAGCAGGAGACCGCCGCTGTGCGGGACGAGCTGCTGGCCTACAGGAGAGCCGGCGGGGGAACGATAGTGGAGAACACCACCACTGGAATCGAACGGGACCTTCCCACCCTCCGACAGCTGGCCAAGGACACCGGGGTCCACATCATTGCAGGTGCAGGGTACTACGTGGACTGCACCCACTCTGAGGCCACCAAAGGAATGAGTGTGGAGAAGGTGCGTCCCAGTTTGTGGTGGGGTTTGGAGCTCACACACCTTTGTTAGAAAGTTTTAAGCATGCTTGTTTCAGTATGTGAGGATTTTTTTTTCATGCCTTTTGATTGATTTGAATGGATTTCTGACAACGTTGTCTAGTCTTTTGGTAGCTACACCTGAGAATGACCCTGAGAATACCGTACTCAGCGATATTTAGACACACTATAACTATGCTTTCATCATCTCCTTCAATCCTTAGTAAAGGGAAAGAGGGAAATTAGAAAACGTATTCTCAATAAATGAACACACGCCAGCTCCTCATTTCCTGACCTTCAGCTTACAGACATCATCATCAGTGAGGTCCTTCACGGCGCTGACGGCACAGACATCCGTTGCGGTGTGATCGGTGAGATCGGCACCAGCTGGCCCATCACGGAGAGCGAGACTAAGGTGCTGCGAGCCTCGGCGCACGCTCAGGCTCAGCTGGGCTGTCCTGTTATCATCCATCCTGGCCGGGATCACGCCGCTCCAGCTGAGATCGTTCGGATACTCCAGGAGGCCGGGGGTGACATCAGCAAAACTGTTATGTCTCACCTAGACAGGTGAGATGTCACTAAAATAAAGTCATTAAGATACAGCGAAAATTAGGGCGCCGTTTTCCTGTCAAACACACAATTTCCTGTGACACGTGCCCTCTCTGACATTTAATTTGAAACATTTTTTATTTCAGTATCTTAATACATTTTAGTGATTTAGCAGATGGAAGGGGAAAAAGCCTGGACCTTGGTGTCCTTGGTCAGGCTCGTGAGACTGTGTTGCCAGTGACTGCTTGAAATGATGCTGTTTGCTCCATATTTCCTAATTTTTAGCTGCTGAAGGCTTTCTGGTTCTCAGACTTGAGTTACAGCTGGCCAAAAAGTCCTGAGACACCCCTCATTTCTTTTTCTTTGGCTGCTATTTCAGTAATTTTATACCTTTTATATGTATACCTGACCATATTTAGAGGAATGCTTTTTTAACTACTTAACACGGGCCCATCTAAATTAAGGGATGAATCAGTGTTGTATGTGTATAACATGCAACTTAGCAAAGATCCAGTTTTAAATTGTATCTTTAGGATTTGTTGTGAGCCGCCAAAAACACATAATTTGTTCCAACTTTTTTAGTTGAACCTATGAAAATGTCAAAAATAAAACAGTTTGATAGGCACAATGTATTATTTTTACACAAACAAGGTTGCTCTTAGCCTAAAACTGATAGCTTTTTGAATATCTCAGCATGATGTGCAGTGAATCTTAAAAAATCTTTAGGAAACTGAAGAAGTGGAAGTGCTATGTACAGCAGATGAACAAGATGTGAAAGTCATGAACTTAAGACATAATAAAAAATCGAACAAAAGTCTGACACAGGACCTCAGAGATGCATCTGGTCCTTCTGTTCACTGAAGCCTCATCAGAAATGGTTTCAGTGGAGGGGAGCATGTCAAGAAGCTAGGGCTGCTCGATTATGGCAAAAATGATAATCACGATTATTTTCACTGAAATTGAGATCACGATTATTTGACGATATTTATTTCGTCCGCCAGAGCTTATATTATTTTTTTACATGCTGTAGTGCCATTTGTGGGAGCATTTCAAGTTGCTATACATCAATACAACTGTTATAGCCCATATTTTAAAAATGTGTATGCATTAAGTCCTTAGTAACTACATTAATTGCAAAAAAGTGCAATAAATTACAAAAAAAATTGAAAATCGTTTTTGTTTTTACATATATTTCTACTTGGAGAAATTTAAGAGGTTTATCCCTCAAAACTTTAAATACAAAAAAGTTGCAAAAAATAGTTTACAACAACAGGAAATTTATTTTGAGTGTCTTCATAGTTTTATTTTTGGAGATACAGCAATTTTTATATACTGCAGGAAAAACAAAAAAACAATCCTATGATGCAAATTTGCAAAGAATGTGCATGTGCATCAAAATAAACTATTTCCAGCAGTGCAATTCGAGTTCTAAGGCCTACAAGTAAAAAACTACATTTTCCGCAAAAATGACGTCACTTGCGATAGTTCACGTTGACGTCTTTTTCAATGTGGGAAGTGTTAAGAACAGCTGATCGGATCGGCAAAGCGTGTTTCTGGAATATTATGTTTTTGTTCTTGCAAGCTCTTTTTATGCAATTTTTGCAAAGCTATATGTGGAAGGAAACCGTGACCGAGGACAAGCTGATGGCATAAGATGTAAGTACAACTCCTCTGGTTTCATATGGAAAAAAATTTATTGTGCTAGCTTAGCGTTCAGGTTCTACAGGGATTTAAAAATAGTTACACAAAACGAGCATGCTGCTCTGACCGGCTTTAAAGGTTTAACAATAACAATGTATTGAATAATGACTTTAAAAAATAATATAAAATAGTGTGCAAATACTGATAACAGTGCAAATGTTTGCAATATAAGAAATAAATGAAAAATGTGAACTTTGCAGTGTTGCTCTGTGGTGCAGCTACGACACCATAGCAAAGTTTACACACTGTGTCTACTTGATCCACGTCTGACTCCGCGAAGCCATAATGTTTCCACACCACTTAAGTTTTTTTTTTTTTACCTCTCTTTTCAACCAACGGCAGTCACTCTCCTCTCCAAATAACTTCTGCTTAGCTTTCCGAGCTTCCCTCGGGTCCTCTTAATTGTTGTGACGCGTGTTCGAAATGCAGAGCAGTGCGCTTGATTTGCCACATGGAGCAGCGCGAGAGTAAAGCATGAGGGAGGGGCTAATAATCGGCTCAGTCATTTTTAATGATCGTTGAAAGCCCAGATCGTAATCGTGATTAAAATTCGATTAATTGAGCAGCCTTACAAGAAGCCTTTTCATTAGGGAAGGGAAATGAGGAGAAAGTGATTGAGGTGTGCCAAATTACAGAAGAATAGGAATGAATATCAGTGGTAACAGGTTTCATGGATTGATAATTCAAATTTCAAAAAGCGCCATCTTTTTTCTGATCCGCCATGCATCATTATCTGGAAAGCAACTTTGCAACAGCTTCGTTTTTCCAAACAAAGCATCATAACTATCAGCTTTATTTTGGCCTTTTTAAAAGGACGATATTGGATGAAGGTGAGCTGCTGGAGTTTGCTAAGTTGGGGAGTTACCTGGAGTATGATCTGTTTGGAACTGAGATGCTGAACTATCCGTACAACCTGGACGTGGACATGCCCAGCGACAGCCAGAGAGTGAAAGCGTGAGTAAGGATTTCTTCTGTGTGTGCGTGTTGTTCACTATTTTGAAACCTCCAGGAATCCGTGTCCAGTCCAGTAATAGAAATCCTTGTGTTTGGAGCTTAACTCCACCTTAAATCTTTTACTTTCACTATAAAGAAGAGCTCATTGTGTAGTTGTTTTTTAAAGTAACACAAATTTCCCATAACGTTAAGAGAGCTGAATAAGTTATGCTCATGTATATATGTTGTTCCTATATATGAATGAAGGCTAAAAGACCGAGGCCCCTCATTTTTCACCCCACTGTTTTCTCGTGTTCAGCCTGGCGTTTCTGGTGAAGGAGGGCTATGAGGACAAGATCGTGATCGCTCATGACATCCACACCAAGAACCGCCTGACCAAGTACGGCGGCCACGGCTACTCTCACATCCTGAAGAACATCGTGCCAAAGATGCTGACGAGGGGCATATCGCAGCACCAGGTGGACAAGATCCTTATCGACAATCCTAAATGCTGGTTGACCTTCAAATAATTAAAAAAATAGAGGCGCGAGGAGGGCGAATTCACCCGGCTATTATTCGTCTTCTGATGACGACTCGTAATGAATACTGATCACGATCCGGAGTCATGCATTAATGTGTTCTTGGGCTCATATAGCAACGGGCTTGCCACCGTTGTATGTAAATTTTTCTTTAATTTCACAGTTTTCAGCAAAACAAAACGTCCATTATATTTCAAAGGAAAATAATTACAGGCTTTTGGATTTTTATAGAGGCTCTTTTAGTGCAAAACATGTTCTCTTTGTTTAAATATTTGTGATTATACATGATTCACTTTGTAAGCAAATTAATAAAGGAGGCCTTGCAGGGTCACGGTGCCTGTTATGGCACGAGAAAATCTTTTGCTCGTCAGTAGAAGTGTGATCGCAATCCAAGATAAATATTTCCAGGTGCTCACAAACACGGTGCTAATTGATTTTTTTCAATTTTTTTTATTGTTATTTGTAATTTCAATGTCATAGCTGCTCTCTTTGTATTCGTAGGCGACACTTATGCAAACACGTTATATGGAAGGGAAATAATGAGCGCATTACTAATCAGTATGCTGCTCTGCTCTTGACACAATGTGGCTGTGTTAGATGAGTTGTCCTGTTGCCCCTCGGTGGGTGTCTGCGTGTCTATGGGAGGCTGACTGGCTGGCAGGCCCGGATGAAGGACATGTTCTCCTCTCATCTGGGAACAGGTGGCCTCGCAGGGTGACTTCGCCACATGATCAATGGTGCGATCGCCACAGCTGACTGTGCGGCGTGAACAACTATCTAACTTTGATTAATCTTCTGGGGAGGATTACAAAGTGAGCGTGAGAATTTAATACCGCACTACATTTTACATCTGAATTGACAGTCGACTCTGGAGGAGTTTAATAATCAGCAAGCAGATTGATGAGCGTTATATAACATTTCTGTCAGCGGTGGCTGTCCAGTTTTGTGACTAACCACCAGACCACCATGTTGTCTCAACCAGATGCCATGTTGACACACGCAAGAAAAACGAGTTACACTGATGAATTCGTGCATCAGTACGAATGGCCCTTTACAGTTTTTTCTTGTCAAGTCTCCTAATGTTGCACAGTGTTAAAACGTCATTTTGATTAAACATGCATAACTACAGCTTTTCAACATTTTCATCCAAATTTCACCCACTGTGACTCTTTTTTTGCCTTTAAATAAAGCACACAAATGGTTTAACAGCACTGTAAGCGGTCATGTGAATATATATGTATATATAATATCATATTTGCACCTATAGGTGAGTCATCACATTATAAACTTTCCATCTACAGGGACATGTGTAACCACACGAGCTACCGTCTGCAAACTTAATTCATAAAGCACGACATTTCATTCAGGGAGCACGAGCAACACTAATCAATGTGACAAGGGTACAAGTGGGTGCTGTACAAATTAAAACTGTTATTTTGGTTTTGTAATTACACTGTCAGCTCGTCGCTATTGCCCAGCACAGTTTTCTGTTTTTGCATGACCTCCTCCACATCACTGCTGATTCTGTTTGAGTTATAGAAACGGTGAGCTCTGCCTCTAATAATCCAGCTGACATTGAACTGAGCACGAGCGGTGAAGCAAGCTATATGCAGAGAAGCTCTTTTATCCTCCCAGTCTCTCTCTCTCTCTTTCTCGTCTCTTCAGCAGATCTGTCCGTGTTTCAATCAGCGTACAACATGAAGCCGGAGAAGGTGCTGTACTTGTTATTGTTGCCCCCGTGCGCCTTTCCGCCGTCCAGCTTAATATAAATCTCGTCCCCGGGCTCCAGGTGAAGAACCACACTGTTGCTGGCGTAGTCGTAGTTCTGGTCGGCGTCTTGGGCGATGGCGCTGGCTCTCACCTGAAAGGCAAATGTGACAGTTTGTGAAACGGCTTCGTTTCGAAATCAGAACCGCGGACAGCTCCACGTCTTATCTTGATTTGAAGCTTTAAAAATCCCTCACGTAACTTTGTTTGTTTCACAATACCCAGGAAGTGTCGCTCTGCGACTTGTGCGTAAAAATCTCAAAAAGTCTACTTTTTTGCAAGCAAACTAATATCAAAATAATCAAGCTTTTTTATCTTTTTTTTTTATAAAGCAGTCGTGAGTTGTCCTACCTGGTTGTTTTTACAGAGGTCAGCCCACATGCTTGTTCCATCCCCGCCTCTCATCAGCACATGGTAAACAAAGAAGTAAATCCCCGGTATCGAACAGGTGAATTTCCCGCTAGAGGGATCATAGTGGTTTCCAAGGTTTGTAACAACATCGTCAAATTTCAGTATTTCATATCCCTCGTGCTGCTTCTTCAGTCCTGCGTAAAAGGCTATCTTGGGGACGGTGTTGTAAGTGGCTGCACTGATGGCACCGTTTGGCCCGTTCGCTCCCGGTGCCCCCGGTAGACCCGGAGGGCCAGGTGGCCCCCTCTCCCCGGGCGGACCGGCAGGTCCAGGTGGCCCGGGTTCGCCCATCGAACCCCTGGGACCCATCCTCCCGACGCGTCCCGGCTCTCCTTGAGGACCCTGAATGAACGTGGGAAGCGACTGAACCAGGCGGTTGTCTTTGATCGGGTTGGTTGCCTTGGCTGTAGCCGTAGCTGCGGTCCCGTGGGAGTCGCACACCATTTGACAGGATCCGAGCATCTCATAGCGGGCAGGAGTTCCGGCGGAGTTCACCACCACCGGAATCAGAACCACCAACCCCAGCACCAGCGCGACGCCACAAACACCAGATGCGATCATCTGCGCTCTTCGGATTCGCTGTGATCTCCCGGGTGGATGGTCTTCCAGCCTGCCTGCGGAGGATAGGTTTGCTGAGGGAAGAATTTGACCTGCTCCTGCACAGCCCTGCAACTTATGGAGACAAAATAGTCCTTTAAATATTTGTGCGCGAAAGTAACCATCCACAACTTTTTTTAATGCCTCTCTTTAAGCGTCGAACTGGTTCATCTCCACTTTCTCAACGCGTGAAAGAGCATCAGTCGTTTGGAATCGCTTGGAGGAAGATGCCAGTCTGCGTTATGCGGTGCAAAGTTTCTGCCTTCCACGGTGCCAAAGGAGAGAGTGGATAAGAAATTAACCGTTACTCGATTCTGGGTTTGAAGAGTGGGAGGAGGGATGGATGGAAGTGATGGATGGAATACAATCGGTGCGTTTCTTCAGTCAAAAGAGAGAAGGTGAACGACAGACAAACACTGATGCAACTCTGAAGCACTGAAACGTGACTATTTTATTTTATGCAGTCGATTTTGAAATAAGGGAGCAACTTTACTTTAAAAAATACAAACATTTAATGCAGAGGGCTTTGCATTACTTTCATTGATTATTGTAGCGTTACATCCCACAACATTTTATCAGCGCCTATTGGAACAGCTCTAAAGGTCCTCAGCATAATTAGGACCATTTAAGACAAAAAAGCTATACCCCTTTGACACCTGGTCACACCTCAGCGGCTCCCTGTGTCCAATTTATCATTTGGAAAAAATCCATACAGCCACTGATAGAAAGAGGAGAGTCACTAGGAGCTGGCAGTGAAGGATGACTTTGCACAGATATAGTCATGAAATGAATGCTGAGGCAATTCGATGGGAAATAGGCTGAAGTTACTTATTAATTGCCAGTGGGAATTTACCATTTGCATCCATTAGTTTAAGAAAAATGTTGTAATATTGTCCTATTAACCCGATTCAAATGGCCCCAGCCATTTCTCAGTGCCCCATGCAGATAAAAGTTAAGCACTTCTAAAGCTTCTGTGAGATTTGAGTGATGAAGGGCTAATTCCTGGTGAGGAGAGCAGATGATGATGTGCTCATGAATGCAGAGGATGTCACTTTGTCGATGGCACCTCGCTGCCAGGTGGGAAAGATGGATCACAGAGGAAGAAAAAACACGGATGGTCCGGCTTGTTTTGGAGGAGGAAAACTTTGATTACAAATTTTATGGAAGTCAAAATGCAAAGTGTGTTTGTGGGATTGTCGACTCAAAAGTTGCCAGAAGAAAGCTGCTGGCAGTGCTAAAAGTATATGCTGTTTAAATGGTGTAACATTTCACAATGAAAATGGTGTTACTTTACAAACTTAGGTCATCAAACCCATCAACTAAACAGTTCAAAGGTTATATATTTATGCTATGTGTTTATATAAAACCACCTCAGATCAAGGGTTTCACAGAGTCCATCTGGCTTTTTACGTATTCCCAAAGGCTAATCAATACTTTTCTTTCCACATTTATTTCATTTCAAAGCAACAACCGCAATGATAACCGCAGCACCTCAGATCCCTATGTGTGAAAAACTACACGTGTGAGCATTTTTGCAAGGATTTGTTTGTTTGTTTGTTTTATAACAGATTTAAGGGGAATAATGGAAATGGAAATAAAGCCTGCATACATTCACAATCAGAGAAAGCCGCATGTAATGGCATTTAAGCCGGTGTCTGGCTCTGAAGGGCATTCACAGTCAGTTTGAAAAGTGAGCGAGTTAATGTCCAGAATACCGGCTGGCATGTAGCTCGGCCATGAAGGCTCTCCACCTCTGTCTGTCTCAGGCCAGTGAACGATAAAGGGAAAGCAGGCTTTAGATGTGGTTTAAATGATTCATTTAAAAATGAATCAGTTTCTTAGACTGACAATGCATCAAGGCCTCCTCTCTATGAAAGAGGGAGACGAAGTCCTCCAACTGAGGAATAATCAACCAGCTAACAATGACGCATTTTTGATATTCAAGATGAATCTCCTATCAGTATTCTGTTCTATAAATCGATTCTAGTCTATAGTTTCCTTTGCTCATATTGTCCTGAGATCACTCACAGAGCTGAACTACCTGAACACAGTGTTGATGGGGAAAAGAAATATATGAAGCTTAGAATTTGCTGGTATTCTTTATTTAAAGGCCATAAAACATGACATCAGTTTTATGTTTGTTTTTGTTACTTTGAAAAATTCATTTCAAACTTGATGTTTTTTTTAATGGAAAACCCCACAAAGTGAATGTATACTCACTTGCCACTTTATTAGGTATAACATGTTAGTTTTGGGTTGAACCCCACACTGCCTTCAGAGCTGCTTTAGTTCTTCGTGGCAGAGATTCAACAAAAGGCTGAAAATATTCCTCAGAGGTTTTGTCCCATCAGAAGATGGTACACTGTGGTTGTAAATGGATGGACATGGTCAGAGACGATACGAAACGATGCTCAGTTGTTACTAAGGTACCCAAAGTGAGCCAAGAAAATATCCCCCACACAGTTACACAACCATTATCAGCTTAAGTTGTTGTTCCAAGGCATGATGGAGCCATGCTTTCATGTTGTTTATGCCAAATTCTGACCTTACCAACCAAATGGTGCAGCAAAACATGAGACTCATCAAACCAGGGAATGTTTTTCCAATGTTTTGTTGTCCAATTTTGGTGAGCCCGTGGTAATTATAGCTTCAGTGACCCGTTATTAGCTGACAGAAGTGGCACACAGTGTGATCTTTAGAGATGCTCCTCTGCATACCTTCATTGTAATAAGTAGTTATTTAAGTTACTATTGCCTTCCAATCAGCTCAAACTATTCTGGCTATTCTCCTCTGACCTCTGACATCAACAAAGCATTTTCACCCCTAAAACCCCCCAATGAGATATTTGCAGTTGAACGGGTGTACCTGTGGCTGGTGACTATATATTATAACTTCTTAGTTTACTAGGATTGCAAAAAAGTGCTTATTAAACATGGAGTAAGTTAGACTTAGAAATTTAGCATTCATTCAGAGTCATGTTTCTGTCAACCTAACAAGTGTGAACAACTTAAGTCTTTGCTTTGCTTCCGTTTGTGTCAACTCTTGGGAAAATGGCTTTTTAACAGCTAAATTTTCAACACCAGTTGCTAACTTCATCTGCCATTTGGTGCCAGCCAGGTGGTGTTCAGTGACTTTTAGAAGTACAACAGCTCGGTGTCATTTCCTGTGATGAGACAAAAAGGTGTGCTGATTTTATGATGAGCCACACTGATGGAGATTTAAAGAAATAGCATTAATCCCCACCTCTGCATTGTACTCAATATTTTACATCTTTAAGTTTTAGAAACCTTCATTGGAGACAACTTAAATTCACAGATAACTTACTGTTAGTGGGGCTGAACCAGCTCACCCCTCCTAATGTCTTCAGGTTTCCGACTCAGTGACGTCTGGTCTGATCGTCATCAGCAGCACATTCGCCCACAATATGTGCTGGTTGCTTTGTGTGCTGATGTCATAATTTAGTCCACATAAAAACAATTTATGAGAGGTGCAACTTCCCTAATCATGATTTTAGATGATGTAGCCTAGCATCATTTTCATGCAATGTTCATGTTTGGACATGCAGCCTTGTCTTGGTCTTCTTCCATTAGTAGAACCATTAAAATAGTTTTTTATGGGTTATTGTAAATTTGGACTAGAGGACATCATCTTTCTGGGAGAAAGTAAAAATTTGGTGTTGCTGACTCTCTAGCCAAATTGGAAGGTCAGATGTCACTGGTACACATATCAGTGGTATTTGACAATGCAGGGAGGCCATACAGGCCACAGGATTCTGGGCACCTTGCAGTCATATGAGCCATGAGGTCTTCTGTATGCCAAAATATTCTAGAGTTAAGTATTAGCCCGTTTATCAGAAAAGCGAAAGAAATTTAGTCATGCAACGGGACAATGATCGCAATGCATAGCAGAGGCGGATAAAATGAAAAAATAAAAAATCTAACAAAAATACTTTCTTCTTTATGTGCATTTCTGCTACAATCAGCTGATTTCAGTTTATGGAAAACAGTGGACTGTCAATAGGGTTGGAGACATGGACATTACTTTCATTTTTATAGCACAAAAGGACGAGAGTGCAAGCATCTGCACAGACTGTATGCTAACGCTAAGCTAACTTTATTTCTACCTGTTCGTGGTTCTAAAGTAGAATCACTGTGGCGATCGCTGTAAAGTCTGTTTGTGCTGGTTTTCTTCTTGTCTTTGTGTTGCTGGCTTTCTTTTCATAACTAAGAACAAAAAGAAAAAATATAGAATAGGGATTTGTGCTGGTGTGTGGGGGTGTAGCCTAAGGTTTGTATTGTTAACTGATAATTATGTGACAATGTGTTTCAGGTCATTTTAAAGCGTGATAAGGAATCAATGTAACGAGTAGTGTAACAAAGTGCTTTCTCCAAATGAGTAATTAAGTAATATACTGCATTACTTTTAAGAAAAGTAATGAGTACTGTACAAAATATTCCTCTTTTTTTTTTTTTTTTTTGAGTAATGACACCAACACTGAAGTCCAGACGTCAACCTCATTGAAATGCTGTGGTGGGATCTTGAGAGAGCGGTGCATAAACAAATGCTCACAGATCTGAATGAAGTGACGCAGCATTATAAAGAAGAGGGGGCCAAAATTCCCCCACAATGATCAGAGAGGCCGATAAAGCCAGAAAACAATCACTTCAAATTCCTGCTACTGAGCTGAGTTTTTCAAAGAGCTGCACAGAGTCCTATGAAAACTTTCTTTTTCACATGAATTCATGTTTTATACTTAAATATACAAAGAAGAATGAATCAAAGGACATTTCCAAGCTTTTGAAAATTTGATAAAGCAGGTTGTAAAGGGTAGAGTGATAGGTTGAGAGGTTTGTTAAGAGTGTAACTAAAAAAGTAATCTACTACATCTAGAACTAATCTTTAAGATTTCTTTTCCTTTAACTGTGCAGTAAGAAAAATGTGTGTATAAATGTAAAATTAACAGGGAATTTTTCTTCTCATTTACTGTTCTCAGTATCTATTTGTGACCCAGTAATGTGCTCGCAAGTACTCGTTAAAATAATGCCTTAATTCTCCAGATATTAAAATTGCTACCTTTTTTCCAGTATGTTTTGTTATGTTATGTTTCACAATATCTAATTTAAGCAGCTGATTCAAAGAAGCAAAATTATACCGTAGATCATAGGTTGTGTGAAAAGTTATTGTAAAGACTCTCTTTACGGTTGAATTGGGATCTATTTTTACTCTTATAGCCTTTCATTTTATCAATTAGGCGTTGTTGCTGATGAGCCGTGGTTCTTAAGGGCACCGTGTGTGAGCTAAAATACATGAACATTTCTAAAAGAACACATTTTCTGTGGGATGGGTGCAAAGTGATAAATAGAATGGTATATA